AAAGTAAAAGATTTTTTTACGGACAGAAGGACCATTTTCGAAAAAATCGTCACAATCACAATGTAATTGGTCATAAGTTTTTTTGTCTTAAACTGATATAATATTTCTATTTTAATAAAATAATATCATTATAAACTCTACAATAATTTCACTAAACATAATAAAATTCTTTCTAAATAATAATAGCACAACATATTCGCTACAACATTCCAAAATTAAATCCTAATACAAAAGAAATAAGGCCTAACTTAATAAAAATGGCGATGTTCATTATACACTAATGAATATTAGATTGCTAGTTTTGAATATTTAATAAGAAAGACCAAAAGATAATTAGTCTAAGTGTCACTTATATTGGTCTCTGGAGTCTATTCAATTTACAAATTGTTTCTTTTCTAATCTAATCAATTTTATTGATATTACCGTACTGCCTTCAAATACAAAATTATTTTCTTTATAAAGTTCACAAATTAATTTAATTAAGTAATTAGGCGTATGTGGTTGAAATTGACACAACTTTTAAAAGATTTCTTAAACAACGTTTCGCTTGACACTAATCATAGTAGCAGCTCAATATTATTTAAAAATCCACGTAATGTATTTAACAAATATATCAAAAATAATAAGAAATATGACCAAAACCAGAAAACTGGCATGAAACAACCACAGCGTTGTATTTCGCCATGTGAGTGAGATTACCAGAGACCCAATCCCTCCACCTTCTACATCCCTTCACAATCCTTAAGTATCCAAATCCCCTATCCCTAAAAGGCCGGCTCGTAACTCCTTTGGTGTTGTGGGTGTCCATGGACGGCGCTGGTTGCTTACCATCAGGTAATCCGTTTGCTCGTTTGCCAACCAATATCATGAAATATATATATTGAACAAGACACAACTAGATACACAAAAAACGCGTCCTAAGTCCCACAGAAGCGAATTGCCATCAAATTATCAACAATAAGGGTCCCGATACAAAGACCTTTTCGAAAAATATCCCGAGCATCAACACAATTGGTGTGTCCTACCACTATCTGTACGCAGGACACGTTCCGAAGGCTAATAGGTACCCTAGAGGCTAACAAAGGAGCTAACGTGACGAATATTTGATAAAAAGACAACCCTATTACAGGTATTAACCGGTGTTACATAATACTCGGTGTAATACTTTTGAAACTTTTATAAAATAGTCGTTAAAAAGTAGTTTTTGATGTTAGTCTGAACGTTTTTGGGTTAAAGTTTTTGGCAGTGGACTGGGTGTGATGTGTATTTGGAATTGTATGTTTGTAACCGCACCCACGACACAGGAGAAAATCTTAGTCTGGGGTAACGTTATATAAAAAATAGAAGTAAGGAAAACAGGAGAAAATTACCCCTAAAAGGTAATTAGAGCCTTCCTTTTCTAAATGTATTTTCACTTAAGGAGAAAATCACATATATTTCACTCTCCAACCTCCCAAATGTAATTCCACCTGAACACATAGCGTACGGCGCGTAGTGTTCCGCGCGCGCCTCAAAGAGCCAATAGACCACCACAGACGGGGCCCTATAGGGCTGATATTCAGCCGGGGTTGCGGGGTAAGCGCAATGAGGCACCGCGACCTCGGCCCAGAGCAGGAGAAGGAACAGGGGGGTTTTTAGTCAGTAAGAGTCTGACACTCCCTCCTGCCCGACCCTGGGCAGAAGAAGACATTTGATGATTATCCTTTCACAAAAAAAAACCTGAACACATCAAATCATACCATGAAAACGCGTCATTACGAGGTGTAAGAAAAGGCAAAGAAAATTAAATCTGAAAGATAGTCAAAGCTTACTTTATCAAATAAACTTTAAATAAATAAATAAAAATGATTAATGGTTGAAATAACACATCAATCCTTAACCGACCTCCCAGTCATAACTAACTACATGTTGAAACAAAAATCATATCATGAAAACGCTTCATCACCAGTTGTAAGAAAAGGCAAACAAAGCAACATTAATATTAGCAAGGATGGAAACAGAGCTCACACGAAACGTCATATAACGTGATATTAGTAAAGGATTACAAGTCGCGGGTGCATTTAATGTCCTGTCTAACGAGCGAAGCGAGGTTTGCTTTCAATTACAACCTTCGAATAAACACCTGATGCCAATCGTTAGAGGTTCTAACTGCTAGTCTGATATTTAACGAGAATTACAAATTGCTTTATTCTCAGGTTGATTCATTACCGCTATAAGATACGGTTGAAATTTAATTAAAGTAATTTATACTTTATATTATTAAGCTGAAGACTTTGTTTGTTTAACGCGCTAATCTTTGGAAATGATGGTTCGAATTGAATAAATTCTTTTCTGCTGGATAACTCATTTATTGAGAAAGGCTTTAAGCTAATAAAACATTACACTATGACCAATACCTACACAGCGTGAAAGTAGCTAGTAATAAATTATTTAACAAATTGGTTTGTTTGACGTCTACGTTTTTACATAGTTGAATAAAAAGCAACTAACATATAATATGAATTGTATGTATAATAATGATAAATAAAAACTAATAATTGGAGCGGGACGTCAACTTTTAGGGCTTGACTCCCAGCATTCGAATTGCGAATACGTACGTGAAAAAGTCTTATAAAAATAGGTTCAGGTCTTGTTACCTAGTATGCGGCACAAATAAACCAAACTAGTAAGTTTACTATAAATTTTCGCCCACATTTTTCAGAAAAACATACAACCTAGACGACTTGTTATTCTTGTGAAAACATTTTGTCGTAACGTGGAAAATGGCATTCATATTCCACTTTAGCTTTTGAACAAACATATTAAAAAGCAATACGTAGTTTCCGTTCAAGTTACCATACTAATGTAAAAGCAATCAGTAAATTCAGTACTTACTGAATATATTTCAGTGAATCACAAACATTTCTCTTACCAATCCAATTTTACAAACGGTTTTCGACGTACCAATTAACCGAACAACCATCCACCCACTCCTATTTAATATACCTTCTAAAATAGACTCTAACACACGAAGTTTAAATAAAGTTGAATAGAAAAAATATGTCTATAATGTGCATTAAAATTTGAACATTATGCGATAAATTTAATGGGCTAACTTTCCTTGTTTGTTTAAATTATTTTAAATATTAATATTTTAAATGGGAATCATCCAATTGATTATGTTATTAACTTATTATTTAATGTTCTGGTAATTTCATAGGTTTTCCAGTTAATAAACCCTAAACAAAAATTCGTCCAGCCTTAGCCTTCGTGAATTCTTTAGTTTCAGTTATTATTGAAATAAAGGAAAGCAAGTATAGACCATATTGTAAAAATATATAAATAAAAAAGTACTTTTAAAAACGTCAATATTTAAGATATACGTATATAATATAGATTTCTAGATGCGTAGTCCTTTTTGGTCCTTCGGTACGCGTGGAATTCTTATCCTCGTTAAGTCACACTTTCACCAACAATTTGAGTATAAGCAACAAAATATTTTTCGAACAATGACTTAGCAATACAGCAATACATTTTACAGGAAAATTCCAACAACCACTGACGACCTTTTAATAGTCAGTCAACATAAAAATTAAAGATAACGACATTTTAATTCACCTCCTCTAACATAACCTCAATACAATTTAACTACAACGTTAAACTCGTAACAATTAACTAGAAGCGTTTGTAATCTCTCAATTCATTGCTAACTTAACCATCGGTTAAGATTGAACTGTTTAAACTCGGTTTAATTAAATTGTCTCATTAGTTGTTAGCTGAAATAAATAAAGGTAACGACTCCCCCGGTAGAGTAATTGGTTTTAATATGTTGCGGTTTGTGTACTGGTAATTTTGTGGTGTTTTCACTATCATGTTTGTTATACTACATTCGCCGAATTGGTTCTGTTAGTTGTATCTAAAATGTATTGCAATATTCGTTGAATTATCTATTATATCCAAATATCGTACGAATATAATAGGCTAATGCGGTTTGACAATCGATTTAAATCGAAAAGTTATTCATATTATTTCATCATTACAAAAAATATTACATTGAAGATCTCGTTCAGATCTTCTCCACGCAAACCTGCGCTTGGATTGGAAGAAGGGAATGGAAGTTGATAAAACGTCAGTAGTAACAATTTGAGAACTTGACGCTTCTCACTCAGCCATATTCCAAAGACAGACAAAGCCTTTTTAGAAGGAGAAAATCATTAAAAGACTTCTCTAGCCCTAGGTCCTCACGGAAGAGCGTATCGGGCTGTGACTAAAAACTATCCCATTCCTTATCTTGCGCCCAGCCTCAGCCGCGGTTCATTATTGCCAATCCCGACTGAACATCAGCCCTATTGGATTCCATATGTGGTGGACTAACGACTCATAACGCGCTTATTAAAAAACCTAAGGTACATTTTATTAAGCAATTTTACTTCGCCAAGGAATGAATCAATTTCACACTTAATTATCACTTTTAGTTATTTGTCAAAGAACCGTAGCTTAGTCGACAATTTATCACCTAGTTTTATCAACTTAAAGCAATTTTAATAACGCCTTTATCACTTAGTGCTTCGGTCCGCACGCAACGAAAATAAATGATTATTCGCTACTAAATAAATTGGTAACTAACAACACAATTACATTTTCAAATCATAGGCAGCAATAATTAATAAGCAATGATTAATTGAAGTTCATTGCTTTTACAGTGTACACAGACACACGCATTCAATAAATTCATGTTGATAAATCGTCTATTGTTATGTAATTTTATGTCATCATGACGTTATAATATGCTTTATTGATTACTGAATTTTTTGCAGACAATTTTATGCTTTTTTTAGAATTAAACAATATATATTTAAAAAACAACAAGTTTTTCCTTTTTTGTAAACCTAAAGAATCCAAAACCATCGATAAAATCTCGATGCGGATCGAAGGACCATTTCCATTTTGGTCCTTCGGTTCTCCTTCGGAACTCGTAAAAAGAACACCTTTCAAATAAGTAACGATAAAAAAGAAATGACTCACGATGGCGGGATCCCTCCGACGAAAACATCTGAGTTTGAATTAAACTTCCCAAACGCAAACTCCTTGCCTCGCGACGTCTTACTTTGCGTACTGCCATCCACAGTTAACGACGTGTGCTCGTCGCGACGCGCCACCTGGTGGGAAAGAAGGATTAATCACGGAATCTACATGCTTCAAGTAGCCTTTATCCGGCTTTACGTGGCGCTGAGAGAAACGTATGAACAAATGTTGAGGGTTTTGTAAAAAGAAATTATGTAAGACATTTCGTCAAAAGTGACACTTGTCTTGTTATGTAAGTGCGTGCTTAGCTGTCTAAGATCCCTCATTACGTGTGAGTTCTACGTGCCTTGGGAATTCATTTCTTCACGTATGTAGAGAAATATCGGATTTATGTTTTCGTCTTCCATAGTACCTTCTTTGGTAATACATGGCAGCTATAACAAAATAATATGTAAAAATTTCATCCTTTATTTTGGCCTTGGTGTCATCAAACTGCAAAGTTGCCAAAAACGCCTGTTCATTTTTTAAATCGATATAAAATCTTGCCAATGTTTTACCGTTAGTGGCTATGTACCTTTACAATCCCTTCGCAGAGACAAAAGCGTAAAATCATATTATTTTAGCGCTCTCTACACATTACTCGAATATAATAGGAATTCATTGATCGATGTTCGCAGTATAATGTCGAAGTGAATACAAGGCATTAGAGGTGTAATTAATTATACTGTCATACGTAGCGTATCTAAGCAGGATTAGGGAGATCCGTGACGTCATTAGTGCACAAATGTAGACTGCTTTTGTTCTGGGATCATGTTTCTGAGGCTTATTTCTAGTGAAAGAAAAAATATAGTTTAAACCTTAAAAGATTTTAAGAGAAATTACTATGAAATGAGTGAGGGTTCGTTTTATAATTATTTCTCTTGAGTTCTGTTCTGTTTTAAGATGATTATCACAATACTGTCAAAAACAGTTTGATGAAATTTAAAACAGGTAAAGAAATAGAATAACATCGTAGAACAAAAAAAAATCGATGAACCTCAAAGAGAAAATGAAACAAAGGAAAAAGATATCTAAATGCTCGTTAAATTACAGACGAAACAAAAAATATGATTTCGCTCACCTGAACTTTATGCCAGTGTCCATCATTGAGGTTGCTGCCCACAGTGATAATCTGGGCGCCACCACCCAGATTATACCTCAACCGCAACGCTCCATTAACAAGCTTCAGTTCAAAAAAATCATAAGTGCCACCGTCATCCGTATACAAAAGTAGACCGTTGGGTTGGTCAGTTTTGAATTCTAATTCGAGTGTACCATTCAGGCCGGCGTTCCATTTGCGAAATTGGGAGTACGGGTTTTGTTTGTCGAGCACAAATGCGAAGTTTCTGTTGAAGGATAGTGACAGGAGACAGAAGAGTATGTAGCGCATCGTGGCGACGTCGGAGGGCATTGCTAGTCAACACGTCACGCGACGCCCGAGCTGTGACTCCTTCTGCGTTTCATTTCTTGCGGCTGAAACAAATTGAAATAATTTCGTTAATGATGTTTTACGCCTTAACGATCGATTGGTTATCATAAAGTTAAGGCTAGAAATATAGATGTTTTCTATGTCGTGTGTTACAGAAGTGTGTAATGTTACATTTAACTAGTACTGATGATATTTAAATTACAAAGTCTCGAGTGTCGCACCAAATTAGGATTTGTGAACGAATATGTGATACTAAGGACCAATCGGTGTCTTCAAAGTCTACGTCAAAAACATTTATTTCAACTACACTAATTTTTAAAACGTCAAAATTGAATAGTAGTCCTTCAGTTGGTTCGTCAGTGAACGTTATCGTTCCACAATTGTTTCGTATTGTAGATTCCAATGGGAAAGAACGAGACAGAAAGGACTCATTTGTTTGGGAAAACAAACTTATCATTGAATATCAAGTACTTCGTCCTAAGTTCCGAAGGGACTAGGACAAGGCCTATGCAACGACAAACATTTTTTTTTTCAAGAGTAAAAATGAGGTTTCTTAATTGTTCTTCTTCATTTGAATCTACTATTTGAGACGAGCACCTAGCTTCACTGACAAACAGATTGACAGACTACTATTCTTTTTTGACGTTTCAAAAGTACATATTTATGGTTTAGTTGGAATAAATGATTTTGACTTTGACTTTGACGCCTACTTATTGTTATTATTTGCAACAAACCTAACAGTAATTTTTCACCCAAAGTTAATATTATATATTTGAATGTTGAAACATGACACTTAGACACTTATTTCACAGACATTATTGGTAAGGACCAAAATATTGAACAAGTATGTAATGTACACAAATTCCCTAATAACGTCAAGATGGATCAATTTTGATGGACGACGTGTCCATCGATTAGTCCCTAATGACACGCCTATTGGGGACATGTCCTTTATATTTATAGTTTAAAGAAGGGTCGGGGGTCAAAGGAAAGTTAATAGGGTTAGCAGGGCTTTCTGAACAAAGGTTTGGGCTATAGGCAAGAATTGCAAGTCATCGTTTGTTAGAGGAATTTATTTATGTAATAGGTCGGCAAACGAGCAGGCGGATTACCTGATGGTATGCAATCAGCGCCGCCCATGGACACCCGCAACAGAGGAGTTACGAGTGCGTTGCCGATCGTTTATGGATAAGGGATTTTTAGATTTAGGGATTGAAGAGGGATTGGGGGAGAGGAAGGATTGGGCCTCCGGTAACCTCACTCACACGGTGAAACACAAAGCTGTGATTGTTTCACGCCGGTTTTCTGTGAGTCCGTAGTATCACTCCGGTCGAGCCGACCCATTCGTGCCGAAGTATGGCTCTCCCACACTTAGTAGGAATAGTGAAGTAGATGAATTCATTACAAGTTTTTGAGGTTACCGGTTCCCCAAATCTCCCTAACCTCCAAAACTCTAACTAATTTCTCTAGAGTCCACGGGTGGTGCCGATTGCATACCACCAGGTGATCCATCTGATAGTTTGCCCTATCACATAAAAAGTACCTACACTTTAAATACTGTTAAAACACAATATGTAAATACACTCTGACTATTCTGACGTGTAAAAGTGCCGTTTTATGGCCTATTTGCAAAAATAAATTCATTGTTTCGTTGTTTCATTGTTTCACTATACACAATATGCTTCTTTACGTGAAGACCTCTACCGCTACATCCAAGAAAAACATTTTCATTCGAAACTCATTATTTCTACCATGTAAAACAAGATCGGTTAGAATAACTTCTAAGATACGTAAAACTTAAAAAATGATAGGTAAAATGCACTTATAGAATATCCATTTGTAGCCAGTATTGTTCATATAGAATACTGTAAACGACGAGTTTTTATTATTTATAGTTGGAAATATTAAAAATGGAAAAAAAACATATCTTGTTTTTTCACTTATCACTGGTTGAGTCTGAATCCCAATCCTTTGAGCTACTTTAATGAAAAATTACTTGGTAAATTTACATCATGAGGTTTCGGGAAAAAATCCAGTGTCTTTTACATTATTGTTGGTCGACCATGATATATTAGGTCAGGTAAGCAAGATGACTGTCCTCCCCGCAGTATTATCCCTTAGTCACATTTATGGCACCCATGGGATTTAAAGGGTCCTCGTAACCTACCTCCACTTATCCTCAGGGGATAAGCAGGACTCTAAACTATACGATGATAGTTATTTGAAAGGCAGTAAAGTGATATTTGAGATGATACCTTGTTACTATGAAATTACGGTTGTAAATTATCGATTGAGTCATGATGAAGCAAATCTTGATTAAACGTTAATTAACCTTTCAATTGGGTATTTTTTTTAATTCAATTTTAAATTTAAATATAATTTAAATTCAAGTCAAGAGGTACGCGAACGCCGCTGTTAGCTTGAGTTTTTATGAAGTAAATTTTTTTTTATGTCATAAGTCGGCAAACGAGCAGACGGATTACCTGATGGTAAGCAATCGGCGCCGCCCATGGACACCCGCAACACCAAAGGAGTTACGAGTGCGTTGCCGGCCTTTTGGGGATAGGGGTTGCTTATATAAGGATCGGGAAGGGATAGGGGAAGGGGCGGGATTGGGCCTCCGGTAACCTCACTCACACGGCGAAACACAACGCTGTGGTTGTTTCACGTCGGTATTCTGTGAGGCCGTGGTATCACTCCGGTCGAGCCGACCCATTCGTGCCGAAGCTTGGCTCTCCCACACTTAAATATTTAAGATTACTATAATATTTTTAAAACTTTATTCTCATTAGTCCAACTACACCAATCACGTGACCAACAAAACAATTCCTAAACTCTAAACCAGTCAGGAATAACACCAAGACACCTCCAAAAATAATAATAAAATTCAAGAGAACATTTATTTCGAAACAGAACAAACTACTTCAATTTGCAATGATGTATCAATTAATTTTGAAATTATTAAAGATTTTTAAGTTTGCTTCACATCAAAAGTTCAATGAAAGATGGACAATAATAATTATGTGTATAAATATTTGTACGCCTCAAGGCAAAGCATGGAAGATCTACCAAACTGTAACAACTCGCACACCTATGTTTTACAAATAAATAATTCTTATTCTTATTCTTATTCTTAACAAAACATTCCACAGCAAACAGCTGCAACGGAAAAGAAAATCCCTACGCACATACCACGAATACGCCACAGTGTAGAAAATATGCTCAAACATAACAAAACTAAAGCACAGCATGTTGGAGAATAAATATGAATCTTAGATATACTATCTTCGCAGGTAAAAGGCACTTGGTGCCACAAAAGAGCTGCAGTAAGAAACTAGGCCGGCAGAAAACTGCAAAACGGAATGCATAAAATTTTGGAGAAGGTGTAATGCGTATATAATGAGCGGCCGTGGAAAATATTTTTGGAGTATTTTGTGGGGTCCGTCGCAGTAAAAATGCAAATAGGAACAGATGCTGCGTTGTTGTTTGATGTGAGTTTAATGGTTTTGGAATTTGGAATAAATTTATTTAAAATTAATTACAAAATAATTTTATTATATTTTATATTTTGAGTATTATTTTGTTTGTTACGTGAATAGTGTGGTTAGTAACTAGCCTTTTTATATTGTCTAGATAAATATTCGACAAATAAACTAATTTAAGTTCATAATTTAAAACATAAGGCAACAAAAGCTGTTATCTAAGCATACTGCTTGCTGTGCAAAACCCTGAAAAATCCGAGCACCAAAAAAAGTCTATTAATTTATGCCTCGTCCAAAACTTCTTGAGTGAGAGGGTCATTCCGAGCGGGAAGCGCCCAGTCATCCCGCTGGAGCGGAAAGTTGGCACCGACCCCGGAATTTACCGGTTCCAGCCGGTTTTTACCGACTTTTTTTCGGCCCGAGACGATTTCTCCCCCTGACGACTGATTTGACGCGCTCTTGTGCGAAACTTCTCGATTTGTTGAGCTTGCTTTTTTAATTTCTCTCCGAAGTTTCTTGTAGTCACGTTTTAATTAATTGTTGGCATTTCAACGAGTAGCTGTGACACAGAAAAGGCCGTGTGTCGGAGGAAATTATAACTTTGTGCTATTATTAAGAATCAATGTCATTGCTTTGAACGCAATTAAGAACCATCTGTCGCGTTTAATTAAGAAACGAAATTAAACATGGCGGAAATTTAATAACATTGACTGCTTTTACAAAACATACGTCACCAAAATACAATCACTAAAAACATACATACTACATAAAATAAACCTAATAACCATCACAATATCATACAAATATAAGATTTACTCCTTAATTTCAATATTATTATGTTTTTAAACAAAAAGCGCTTTATCCTCTCCTCTAAAAACTAACTTGCTGTGCCCGACAGGGTCCATAATTGTTTCTCTGTAATTTACCTACCAGCCTTGTATACATTATGGAATGAAATAAAGTAGAGTATCGAGTCTAATAAAAATACACAAAAACAAAACCCTCGAGTGAAAAACGAAACCCTCGAGAAATCTTAATCAATCTACGAAATCTAAAAACTAAACAGAAGCGTTAAAGTAAACATAGTTGAGTATTTCTTCTAAGCTTGGAGCATCCTCCGAGCGAGTCAACGGTATCTCGAGACAAGTAGGTCACCAGTAAATGTTCCCAACACGCGGGCATAAATCAAACGTTTTATATTCCCGACCCCCTCACTATAAGTAAGAGATAGCAAACTTTCTTTTGTGCAAATTGAAGATACAATCTTGGACTGTTACCATGAACTAAAGTAATAGCTCGTTATGTAATTCTGTGTACTTCTTTGTTGGAGTGAATTACACTTTTGCATGTGACTAAGAGTATGGTAAACTCTGTTTTTACACGTCATACGTAATCATATAATGGTTCTTAAATAGTTTGATATTTATATCCAATGATTTTATAAGTAATAAGGTGTACATAGGTTACAAGCGCTCAGCAAGTGATACATTAAAATGTGGCTAAAAAGCCACACTTTTTTATATTTGTCTCTTTTTCACTCGCGATTATTGAATCATGCCATCCTACTTTAACGTGTATCATACGATTTATTCATAAAGTTATTTATAAAGTTATATTTATTCATAAGTGTGCATAAGTGTTCCGTTTTTGAAAATCGAATGTCGTTTATGTAACCTATCTATACCATTTTACTTATAATATCATTGTTTATGTTATATGTATACTAATATTATAAAGAGGAAAAATTTGTAAGTTTGTATGTAGTGGCTAATCTTTGCAACCACTGGTCAGATTGCCAAAATTCTTTCAATGATGAGATAGCTACAATATTTCCGAGTGCTATAGGCTATAAAACATTACGCTACGATCAAATGGAACCGAGCAGAGGGTGAAACCACGTGAGAGTAACTAGTCTTCCATAAAAACTATCATCACTTTCCCTCTTATGTGTACTAAATCTATTTCTAAGGTGAGTGGGAATCATTCAAAGACTGTCTGTAAAAAAATACTGCCTGGGTGGGCCAAGAGGGAGTGTCAAACTCTTACTGACTACAAACCATCCTATTCATTCTCCTGCTTTGGACGGGGCAGCTGTACATTATAATGCTTACACCTGCTACCTTAGTTGATGAGAACTGAATTCTAAACTAAAGTGAATCGTATGATAAAGACTTTGCAAAGAACTGCCTTACAGAAAATCGGCGTGAAATAACCACAAAATTGTGTTTCGCCGTGTGAGTGAAGTTACCGGAGGCCCAATCCTTCCCCTACCCCAATCCGTTCCCTTTCCCAAAATCTCCAAAAGGTCGGCAACGCACTCGTAACTCCACCGTCGTTGCGGGTGTCCATGGGCGACGCTGATTGCTTACATAAAAAAACTACAATATTTATATTAAAAGTGGTCCATAATAAAATTAAAACCAAATCAAAGTACAAATAAAACTCATAAAGTCACCCAAAGTTTAAATGAACAATTAGTACATTTGTATCATAAACTTCGTCATAAGACACTAAAAACTTACTAACTTCTAAATCAACATAAACATTTCCTTATTGACATTTAAAACAGACCCTTTTACACGGACTCCACTCCGAAAAACTACTTACTACTTCGTATAAACCCTCCGAGCGCTGTAGTTTTCAATTCGCCGATATTTCGAGACGCGAACCAATATCTATGGGAAATGGATATTTTTACAAGTCAGACGCGACATGTACCCACATCGGGGGCCTTTTTCATCCCTTAATATCATAAATGTAATGATTTATGTAACAGCCCTAGAATATGATACTGTGGGGCTTCGATGTGGGTCGGACCAACATTATGTAGGGTTGCCAACGTAGTTTTTTGTGGTTCATCTACAATGCGTGCAAACGAGACCCAATTATTAAGCGTATGTTGTCTGTTTGTCAAGGGGTTGTGTTTTTTCAACAGTATTAGGATCCTCGGGGTTCGTCGTACCGTTAAGGTCAGGTTTAGGTTGACGTAGTTTAGTTCCCTCATTTTCTTTATTAAACAGATTTCGTTGAAAGTGTGATTTGGAAATTTCCTTGTGGAGCATCTGGTAGGGTCTTAAAGTATAATCCTATTTTTACAATATAAACATGTGATTTATTTATCTGCATTGTAATTTTTATACATATTCTGTCTAAGGCAAACTTAAAGCTCAGGGTAAGGCGAGAGGTATTGTCAGACTCTTACTGACTTAAAACCGCTATGGTTGCCGAACATCGGTCCTTTTGGGCCCATCAGTGGTGGTCTATTGGCCTTACGCTCGGTTTATACTTCTCTCAAGCGCTCTGTCTCCTTCTTTGCGAGCATCACTGCTTCGCAGAAAGAAAAGACAGCCTTAACACTTGCTCTTGCATTTATAAATCTGCATTGTAGTTAATATACATTTTCTACTGAAAGCAAACTTTAACATGACGTCACGTTGTTAAAATATACATTTCTGTAAAGTTCCTCCTTTAAAAACTACATTTTCAAGAACAATGTTATTGGAAATCCCATACAATTCAGAAAATTTCATCGGAAAGCCCTTAGATAAAAATCGAAGTTGAACAAACTTACACGATAAATGTTTCCTTTCCAAGATTACCATAGTTGATCAACTTTCTAAGGATCTTACTTAGTTTTTACGCGCGAACAACTCACTTAAGTACCTACTCTTAGGAGATTTATTAACAAAGAAGAGTTTGACTTCGAAGAATCTTCACATTTTCCAAAAGTTATACATATATGTCATATTGGACTTCTAATTTTATATGTACTTTTATAATGGTATCAAATACTTCATGCTCGTAAAGACAGACCAATGCTAAGTTATTAGCCATTAAGCTCTCTCCATACACAAGGATTTTCTATAATCTCCACACTTAGCAAACAGTTTGGTGATTCAGATTTGTCACAAAGCAATGCTGCCCATTCCCTATCAAATGTGTAGTCCCTATAGTCAGCTCTGGCGATATCCACAAAACCAGAAGTACTTCACAACTTATGCTATTGTATGTGTTATAAAAATCCTCAAAATCTTACTTATGCCCAACACCAACCCTTTATGGATATCCTAAACAACGATACGGAAGTAACCGTTCGGGATGGGTCTACTTGTTTAAACCATAATTCGATAAGGACTTAACTCGGTACGTGCTTTAATACACTTACACCACAGTAAAAATATCATACAGTATTGTAACTCGGCCGCTTGAAAGAAATAAATACCTACAGCCGCGCGGTACGTAAACATGCGTTAGGGCTGCTCGTCTCCAGTATTTTAATTACCTTTGTCTACTTTCTGTTTCCATTTAGTTAAGTGATTGTAAATACTTACCAATTGAATAGGAAGTGTTCAATAAAAATGCGTGTTTTTTTATTGGTAGATTTAATTAAAGAAGAACAGTACCTGGTTGTCCGACCTTATCTCGGGAAAAATAAATAAAAAAATCTAAAATAAGTACATAAAATATGTACGAAAAATTCAAAAATATGGAAAAAATATGGAGTACTTATAAAAAACCTGGGATACTTTTTAGATTGAAACATTTTTTTATTGTAAAAAAGGGTCACTCGTGACGTACATAGTTAGTTAGCGAAATTTTCGTTTCAACAAAAAAAAACAGTTTTATTCAACTTCCATTACATTAGCCTCATCAAATTAGTTGATAAGTTGTTACGATGAAACGCGAGAGGATATATTTATATATAGAGGATATATATTTCCTATTCGTCATATTAAATAATGTACTCGAGCTGATTTCTAAATAAAAGACAACACACCGTCCGTTCGTCACTGCGGTACAGCCGCGTCTGTCTGCGTCCCGAGCGCGTCCCGACATCGGGCGCGTAGGTATAGTTCGCGTTTCGGCCGTTTCTATGAAGTTGAAATACTTGTAGATATTATTACCTTGCTTACACCCTTTTCACCGTAACCTTAGTATGTTTCTATGTAGACACAAATTGCCTTGTTATAAAATGTTAAAGTGATAATGTTGGAAGCTAAATAGCTTCACTAGAAGACAGACACGCATAAAGTTAAAACTTTTTATATTTTTTTTTTTTTTGCTTGACGGTCTATAGTGCTTCTTGTGGTCTATCGGGAATACATGGTTTGACAATTTTGACTTTTGAAAATAGAACGCGGATAGATCCAAATATTGTTGTTCCGGGTGTGTGTGTGGTGTGTGTGTGAAATTGTACGTTTGTAAACACACCCACGACACAGGAAAATATCCTACGTTCATCTGATTCCATCCTGATATCTACAATAACAGTTTTTCGAACTTGGATCCCTTTAATTCAAGCCGCAATGTATTTAAGATTAAAGTCATACAGTCTTTTAGTCACTCATCGGGACCAATTACTTAATTCATGATATAACACTCCTCAGAAACACAACCACACAACCACAGAACCTCTTCCACTCAATAATAATATCATTATGTACCTATAATTTATACAGTAACATCATCGACTGACATAGATAGCTGCTTTGTTTATAAATGTAGCAACACTTCTGTGATATAATTCTACTTTTTCACGTATTCCTCATAATTGGCGTAATGAATCAAGTATCTGTTTTAGTTGTAATAATGTAATTTTGTAAGCTGTGAAGAACCTTTAAATAAATAAATAAATAAATAAATAAATTACGTTCTAATAAGTGTCAAAAGTTGATTAAAATAATATAGTGTTATTTATTTGATATTAAAACACGTTTCCTAGAAATAGATTTTTATATTTATTGACAATTTTATGAAGTTTTGTGAGAAGAATGCATGACTGAATTAAAGTGTATGTTTAATGAATTTATTATATTATCTGTTATATGTTTCTCTTCTTTGTTCTTATAGTTTAATGTGGTTTATAAATGTTTCAATAGTGTAACTGGCTTCTGCCGTTCTATCGAAATAAATAAATAAATGAAAGTAGGTATCCCAATTTTAAAATTATTCGTGATTTAATCTCCTATATAAGCTATACATATATACTCATTTGCAACCGATTAAACTATTTAGTTTAAACAAAAATATAATTCTGATTTATAAATAGCACGTATTTACGAAATACCATTATACATTAAAGTACACAAATACTACTTTAAAGAGTCTCGTAATCCCCTTCAATGCATTAACGAAACGCGCCGGCATGTCAAACGGAGTGACAGCAGACAGCTATAAGATGTCAGTGCGCTCTCAGCGCTGTCAGTGGTGAGACGTCAAAGTTTACTTTTCAAATTAAACTTTTCATATTTTGTTCAAATTGTTGCAATGTAATTGGAATCCATTACTTCGAAAGTAAAAGTTTTTTTAAAGTCATTGAACCAACCAAGCCATCTATAAATTACACGAAACTTAACATCAAACCGAGAAATGATAATCAAGAAATATGTTGTTAAAAAGCCTTTTAAAGACTTCTTGCCAGAACCTGGCGACTTCGGCGTAAAAAATGAAAAATTTGATAAACTAAAACACGGTGAGTTTTTAGTTAAAACAGAGTATATAAGCACCGATCCTTACTTGAGATCTTTCGCGAACAAGCGCGCAGTGCCGTATGACCAGTTCGGCTTTCAAGTTGGCACAGTGATTGAAAGCTTGAACCCTAAATACCCAGTTAATATGACCGTAGTTTCACATTCCGGATGGCGTGACTACGCAGTTCTGAACGGGCGACCCGATGACATATTTGGCATTAAACCGTACGACCCACAAATTGGGAAGTTACCCCTGTCTCTGGCGGTGGGGGCCTTAGGAATGCCTGGCATAACAGCCTACCTCGGCTTCTCGGAAATATGCAGGCCGAGGGCAGGAGACGTCGTCTGTGTGTCAAGCGCGGCGGGCACCGTCGGCTCTATAGTCGGCCAAATAGCCAAAATGAAAGGCTGCATCGTAATTGGATTTGCGGGTTCTCAAGAAAAAGTTCAATTCTTACGCGATGAGTTAGGATTTGATCACGCGTTCAATTATAAAGAGGTTAAAGATGTTAAGGCAGCGATATTGTCAGTTGTGAATGGCATTGACTGCTACTTTGACAACGTTGGAGGCGAGTTGAGTGCTGGGATCATGCAGTGCATGAAGAGGATCGGGCGCGTCGCCGTCTGTGGTTCCATAAGTACGTATGGGAATGCAACGGACCAAAAAATGCCGACGGTTCCGAACAACGTTAAAGTACAATCGTTCAGTTTCACACAATGGGACTGGGAGCAACAGAAGGCCGCCATTGACCAGCTAAAGCAGTGGGTGCAAATAGGTTCCATTCAAACGAAGGAGTTCGTAGTACAAGGGTTCGACCAACTGCCGGCTGCATTCATTGCTATGCTCCGAGGCGATATGATGGGGAAGGTTGTTGTTAAAATTTGAATCTTAATAACCTACAATTGAATTCAAAATTGCTCAAGAACTTTATAAAGAAGTCTCAGAAAGATCCTATGAATTTATATTTATAATTCAAATATCCTTTTTTATGATTATTATTTCGATTTATTGACAATGTACTTTTTATTTTGTAAAAACTAAAGACGAAAAAAACAGAAAATATAACAAGCAAAATAAAAAAAATATATATATTTATTTAATAATTAATTCTTCGAAAAATCTTTTAACTGCCACTTACCACAGTTTTACGTTTTTGTAATAAAATCTCTATGTATTGGAAAATAAAGACGGTTTTTCATTAAAAGAGAAAAATTACAACGTTTTCCACGTTAGTGCTCAAAGCTCCTTTTGAGCGCTAATGATCACAGGGAACAAAATGCTCGGAGCATTAAAAATAAAGCAAAATTATTTGACAACTTGGTTTTATTTGAATGAATTATCCCTTTGTTAAATTGTATTACAATTTTACACCGTTTTGCTACTGTATTTAGGGTTCATTTTCCTTTGATTTATACAGTAAATACAGTACTACATTTTTTATGTTAGTTTAGATACAAAATCAGAGTGATGAATGAGTTGATCATTATGACAAAAAAAAACATTTGAGAACAATAAAATGTCCAAACATACAAAATGTTTATCTATTTTCACACGCTTACCTCCGATACTAATTGACAGATTTGTATTAAAATTTTACATTGTAGGTATAGCCAATAAGTCTAGAAAAAATATAAAGCACTAGCTACTCTTGCGTGGTTGCACCTACTGATCGGCTCCATTTGATCGTAGCGTGCTGTTTTCTAGCCTATAGCACTCAGGAACATTGTAGCTATCTATCAGTGAAAGAATTTTGGAATACCGACCAGCGATTCCAAAGATTACCCCCTACATACAAACTTACAAACATACAAGCTTACAAATTTTACCTTTTTATGATATTAGCATAGATAAATAGATTTTAAAATTCCATCAATTATGCCTAAAAATGTGGACAAAAGTTGTTAGCAGAAGCTGTTTTTACCGACTTCAAAAAGGAATAGGTTTGCTTCGGCACGAATGGGTCAGCCCGACCGGAATGATACCACGGCCTCACAGAAAACCGGCGTGAAACAACCACAGCTTTGTGTTTCGCCGTTGAGTGAGGTTACCGGAGGCCCAATCCTTCCACTCCCCCGATCCCTCCCCAATCCCTTAATCTCCAAAACCCTAATCCCTAAGAGGTCGGTAACGCACTCGTAATTCCTTCATTGCGGGTGTCAATGGGCGGCGCTGATTGCTTACCATCAGGTAATACGTCTGCTCGTTCGCCGATCTATTACATAAAACAAAATAGGCTTTTTTTTAATGAATAGCATTGAATAGTTGCCATCATAGCTCAGACTTTTCCACCTTAATCTGGACAAAACAAATAGTTTTTTCAGTTACAAAATAATAAAGAACACTTAAACCTCTCCCACGAACTATCATCATCATCAGCCTATAAGTGCCCACTGCTGAGCAAAGGCCTCTTCTCATGCGGAGAAAGTTAGAGCATTAATCACCACGCTTGCTCAATGCGGATTGGCGATTTCAAACTTATAATTACAAATTGTAAGTCCAGGTTTTCTCACGATGTTTACCTTTACCGTATGTCAGTGGTGTCTAAATAATCATAGAAAGTACACATATAACTCGGAAAACGTCACATTGGTACTTTCCAGGTTTCGAACCCACACCTTCATGCATGAGAAGTGGGCTCCTTAACCTCCGGGCCATCACGAACTATCCAAATGTCCAAATATTTAAATTATTCAGTAGAATCAGGCTATCACGAGGGTGGCGCCCTCTTTATTATGGCAAACGATCATTACTACGTCTAGATGCAATCTCCTTGGTCTATGACCATGCGTGATTTAAGTTCTATGCTATTGTTCATATTTTTGCCCAGAAAATGTCGCAGCATTTATTTTGTTATAATGGCTTTTAAAAGACCCATATTTTGTTGATAAATACAACTGTTTATTATAAATGTAAGTTCTTATATTTACTGTAACAGGTTTTAGTAGGTAAGTACGTCTAATGGAAGTGAAATCCAAATTCTAGATTTGAATTTACAATAGAGGTTTTTTAAGTGTGGGAAAGACAAGCTTCGGCACGAATGCTTCGGCTCGAACGGAGTGATACCACGGCCTCACAGAAAACCGGCGTAAAACAACCATAGCGTTGTGTTTCGCTGTGTGAGTGAGGTTACCAGAGGCCCAATCCTTAAATACCCAAAACCCTAAACCCCAAAAGGCCGGCAACGCACTCGAAATTCCTTTGGTGTAGCGGGTCTCATAAAAAAACTCAAAAAAGGCTTGACGATGAAAAATTACTTCTATAATTAATTACTTCCAGCACACGAACGTTACCAAAGAGCAAAGCAATACCTAAATAACAAGCTTACTCCAGGTATTTTCGTTCCAATCAGCTCAAGAACACGCTCCACTCTATGTAATCTAATTAGTACTTTAAATACGAAATCTTAAGATATATTTTCCTTTAGATACCTTCTCTCGTGTGAAAGTACGACTTTAATTTTATATTTAATTTCATAAAAATATTAGTTGGTATAAAGTATTTCTCAAAGGAGTTCTTAGTTGTATAAGAGAGAAGAATCAAAAAAGAAAATAAATTTTGTCGTTCAAAAGTACCTTTAGGGTTGATTTTTCAATAGCCAGATAAATGTTAGATGAGGAATAAAATTGTTGCTGTCATTGTCTTATACAAACATTCTGATGCGACGGAAACATAATTATGCCTTAAATAACTATTATGTAACCATTGCAAAATCAGCCCTTAATGATCTAATTGAAATAAGTGATTTGACTTTCAATCTTAAGCTCATTAATTATTTATTTATTTATGTAGGCTACTTAAGTTGGTACATAAGGCGGACTTAACGCCACAAGGCATTCTCTACAAGTTTTTTTTTTATGGGATAAGTCGGCAAACGAGCAGAAGGATTACCTGATGGTAAGTAATCGGCGCCGCCCATGGACACCCACAACACCAAAGGAGTTACGAGTGCGTTTCCGGCCTTTTGAGGAAAGGGGTTGGGGATATAAGGATTGGGAAAGGATAGGGGAGGGGGAGGGATTGGGCCTCCGGTAACCTCACACGGCGAAACACAACGCTGTGGGTTGTTTCACGCCGGTATTCTGTGAGGCCGTGGTATCACTCCGATCGAGCCGACCCATTCGTGCCGAAGCATGGCTCTGCCACATAACAGGTACGGAAAGTCTGTTTTGCAAAAAAAGAACAGAAAGAAGAGAAATATTAATAAAAGTATATTATTAGGGGTACATTCATATGTTTAAAGCGATGTAAGTAGGTAGATAAAATTGACAAAAAATATAATAATGGATCAATACACATATTATTACTATTATTTCTTACAGCGTACCATATATTAAATACTAATGATGTTTTTTATGAGATACCCTCGACCGAGCAGACGGATTACCTGATGGTAAGCAATCAGCACCGCCCATGGACACCCGCAACACCAAAGGAGTAACGAGTGCGGTGCCTGTCTTTTGGGGATTTAGGGTTTCGAATATTTAAGAGTAAACCATGGTGGTAAGCAAACTTACTCCTCTATGCAAGCATTGAATATGTATATACTAATATTATAAAGAGGTAAAATTTGTAAGTTTGTATGTAGAATCTAGAATCTTTGGAACCGCTGGTCGTATTGCCAAAATTCTTTCACCGATAGATAGCTACAATGTTCTTGAGTGCTATAGGTTATAAAACATCACGCTACAGTTAAATGGAGCCGAGCAGCGGGTGAAACCGCGCGAGAGTAGCTAGCATATGTATGAACGTCCACCAAAATATATGTAAAACAATAACTTTAAAATTACTGCACGGAATTGGATAATTCTTTTATATTAGGTTTGTATGAAAGAGAAAATGTGATACACTCACAGGGAGAATTATATAGCCGGGCAGTACTACAGCGAATCTAGAGTGAACTACTAATTTGAAAAAAGAATGTGCGCTGGTCTTAACTCTGAATTCTGCCTGTAGGCTCCAAAACATAGGTACTTCGATATCGGACAAAGGTCAAATTAAAGTCAAGGTATCACCAATCCCAATTACAAATTCTCCGTATCCCGCCGGCCATTTCACTCGCTTCGTATTACATTTCAATTAATAATTGGCTAAATAGCAAGTAATAGATCCTCTTTATAACATTCCTAAGAAAAGCGAATAAGATTCCGAGAAGGATCCTAATTAATGAAATATCAACGTCAGTCGATTGCTGGATGGTATAAAAACAATGTTACTGTACAAAACTATAATTGTTTCTTCTGTAATTTCCAACTAGCTCTTACCCGCGGCATCGCTTCCGTCATTTGACTATCTACCCTACTCTACCTATCCTACTCTATCTACCCTACTCTACCTGCCTTACTCTACCTACACTACACTACCTACCCTACACTACCTACCCCACTCTACCTAACCTATTCCACCTACTCTGTCCTATGTCCTTCTCCTGGCTCTAAACTACCTCCCTGCCAATTTTCAGCTAAATCGGTTCAGCCGTTCTTGAGTTATAAGTGGAGTAACTAACACGACTTTCTTTTATATATATAGATTGTTTTGTAATTAAAGTGAATCTATCTAATTAATTTGAAACTAGCTTCCGCCCGCGGCTTTTCTCGTGTATCGTACCTATTAATAAAAAGCACCCTATATGTTAAAAGCACGTATAGTTTTGTGTAAATAGCGTCTTGACCCAATTCTCGCTAGCAACGCCACTTAGAAAAATAGACTCCAAACATTATAACCAAAATAACAATATAAAAACGAGGTCACATTAATGTTTATTATTACATAATAATCCTTAATAATACCATTGCTCTTTGTGTGTAAAAATAAGGATTTCCGCCATATGAACGGAAATAATGAGCGACAATTTGGACTGCGATAATCTGGCTCTCGAGTACCGAGCT